GTTACAAGACAAGAGATACAAAAACAGAGAGCTTCAGATAATGCGAATACTCGAGCATCCTAACGTCGTTGAGCTTAAGCATTCTTTCTTCTCCACCACTGACAAAGACGAGCTTTATCTTAACCTTGTTCTTGAGTATGTACCCGAGACTATATACCGTGCATCAAGATCTTATACCAAGATGAATCAGCAAATGCCCTTGATTTATATTCAGCTCTACACATATCAGGTAAACAAAACTTGTGATCTGACTCTTTGTGAATCTCTTATATTCTCATTTTGAGGTTCTTACAATCTTTTGTTGAAAAATCAGATTTTCCGCGCAGTGAACTATCTGCATCGAGCTGTTGGAGTGTGTCACCGTGACATTAAACCGCAAAATCTATTGGTAAGCATTTACAACAAGGAGTTCAAACAAGATGATTTTTCTTGAACGGTTTATTTAAAAACTGGTCTAAACGTTCAAAAAATCGGTTTAGGCACCTGCTTAATCAATAATTTCCTGTAAAATGCTTAATTACCATTTCTTGAACATTGTTTATAAGTAGTTCTTGAAAGCATTTATAGATTTTTTTCTAATGATGATGCATTTGGCAGGTCAATAATGTTACACATGAGGTAAAGATATGTGACTTTGGGAGCGCGAAAATACTGGTAGGTTTCATAAACTCTAAATGTGTTTTGAGGTTCTTTAGATTTCACTGCCTGTTACAAGAAACATGAGTAGTGAGTGAGTGGTGTGTTCTTGGTTTCAGATTCCTGGAGAACCCAATATATCATACATATGCTCAAGGTATTACAGAGCTCCAGAACTCATCTTTGGAGCAACTGAGTACACAACCGCTATAGATATGTGGTCTGTAGGCTGTGTTATGGCTGAACTTTTCCTTGGACATGTAAGATAATCTTTTCTTCTGAGTTATTCTAACTTTTAACTCAGACAGTTTCTTTGAGACATGGATCTTTCCTTTTAATGTATACAGCCTCTGTTCCCTGGAGAGACTAGTGTTGATCAATTGGTGGAGATCATTAAGGTAAAGAAACAGATTGTGTTTCTATGTTCTTTTCATGTTAGAGATTGTCAGAGTTGTAATCAGAAATTTTCTGTGTAAATAAGATTTTGGGGACACCATCTAGAGAAGAGATAAAGAACATGAACCCTCGTTACAATGATTTCAAGTTCCCTCAAATAAAACCTCAGCCATGGCACAAGATTTTTAGGAGACAGGTACCTCCTGAAGCATTGGATCTTGGCTCTAGACTCCTCCAGTATTCACCAAACCTGAGATGCTCAGCGGTAAGAGAGAACAATCCTACTTGATTTCTGACTTATTTTCAAGCATGGCATCATTACAATGGCTACTCTAACTCTGGTTTCAGCTTGAAGCATGTGCACACCCGTTTTTCGATGCTCTGAGAGACCCCAACACATCCTTGCCTAATGGAAGAGCACTTCCTCCATTGTTTGATTTCACAGCTCAAGGTTTTGACAACAACAACACTATGCTTTCTTGTGCTTTATCTTTCTCTTCTTGAACTTACCTCTCAGAAATGCAATTTACTTTCTTTGCAGAATTGGCTGGTGCATCTGTTGAATTGCGTCATCGTTTAATCCCTGAGCATGCAAGGAAATGACTTCTTCTTCTCTACACATGTTCTTGTTATGAACCAACACTGACCTCTGCAACCACTTGGAAAAGTAGTTTCGAAAGTGTATAATTTATAAGTTTGCAACTTTGTAGCTTCCACTGTTGTATACAGAAGAATTTTTCAAGTTTTCTTTCCTATTCAAAATGTTACCAATAGTCTCCACAAGAACAGTGTCCATCTCTAAAGTGATGAAAGCAGTTAGAATCTCTTAAGATAATATGCCGTAGATACACTTTCGATATATACTTCATCGCACTGTGGCAATCTCCACAGACACGGAGGTTCTTGATGATACGAATCGGAGCTCCAGATGGTACAGCAAGTAAACCAAACGCTACAGCTAGTTTCTCACTATGGTAAGCCAAGCCAAGCTCCTTCCCTTCTTTATCCAAGTCATGGAGTGCAAAACTCATATCCGGTATATAACCAGCTTCTTTGATCAAAAGCATCATTTCATCAACCTTTGAATAGATCTCAACCATTCTCGGATGCTTTCTATCTTCAGACATGAAGCTATGAACTATCCCTTTCCCTTCTACCCAACTGCAACCAGGCTCTTTGCTTATGTTACGAGTTTTCATCAACCTACGAACATTTGCAGCTTCCTCTTGTCTCCCTGCTGCAGAGTACATGTTTGATAACAGAACATAAGGAACAGCATTGTTTGGTTCCAGTTCCATGAGAGTTTTCGCTGCTCTTTCACCGTTTGCTATATTCCCATGCTTCCTACTTGCAGCTAAAATTGCTTTCCACACAGTTGCATCTGGTTCAACCTCCATTTGATTCAGCAACTCCTCTAATTTTATAAAATCGCCAGATCTACCATAGAGATCAATCATACATGCATAGTGTTCAGGTCCTGGTGTGATTCTGTAAACTGTTCTCATTGAATCAAAGTAGTGTTCAGCTTCTTCTATGAGACCGGCATGACTGCAAGCAAATAGTAATCCAATAAAAGTAATGTAGTCAGGTGTTATGTGATTGTCTATCATCAGCTTGTATGACAGCAGAGAGTCCTTAGCTTTGCCGTTTTTCGCGTAACCAACAATCAGAGCAGTCCATGTGATCAAATCTTTAATTTCCATAGAGTTGAAAACTGCATTTGCGTCTTCTAAGCTTCCACATTTTGTGTACATTGTCACAAGAGAGTTATCTACGGACAAAGAGGCAGGGAAGCCAGATTTGATGTAGTTACCATGTACTTGTTGCCCAAACTCGAGAAGAGTTAACTCCGCGGAAGCACTTAGTACACTCGCTGTAACAATCTGATCAGGAGAAATGCCTCCTTCACCTCTCATCTTACAGAACAGCTTCAATGCTTCTTCATAAGATCCATTGCCTGTGATAAGAGCCGTCCAAGAGATCACATCTTTCTCAACCATCCTTTCAAACACTTTCACCGCTGAATCCATGATTCCTCTTTTAGCATACATGTCCACAAGCGCGTTGTTCACCAGCTTGTAATTTCCATATCCATTTTTCACAATCAAACAATGCACAGAAGAAGCTATCTTCATCTCTGAACTTCTAGAGGTAGCAAAACAGTTTAAAACAGAAGGGATTGTGAACTCATCTATCTTCATATCTCTCTCATGCATTCTACCAAACAAAGACAGAGCTTCTTCTTTAAGACCTTCTCTAACACACTCAACAACCATTGAGTTCCAAGAAACAACATCATCAACTTCCATATCTTGCAACAATGCTCTCGCGGTTTCCAAGTCTCTACATTTAGCATACATTGCAATCACCGCGCTTTGAACAAAGATATTACTCTTGAAACCACTCTTAACTATGCAGCCATGTACCTGAACACCAACCCTGAGAGCAGAGACAGCACCACAAGCCGTCAAAACGCTAGGAAATGTAAACTGATTAGACTCCTTTCCTTCTCTTCTCATGTCCCTAAAACACTCTATCGCCTTGTAAGCAAACCCGTTTCTAGAGTAGCCAGTGAGCATAGAAGTCCAAGTAACATTATTCCTCTCACCTTGCATCGTCCTAAACAGATATTCAGCTTCAGAGATGCGTTTACATGTTGCATACATAGCGAGTAAACCATTAACCACATTAACATCCAAATCAAAACCAGTTTTCACTATACACCCATGAATCTGTTCACCTTTTAAAAGTAAACCAAGAGAAGCACACATCCTAAGAACACTACCTAAAGTATACTCATTAAAGCTTCTTCCTTCAAACTGCATTTCCCAAAACAAGCTTAAAGCTTCATCTTCACTACCATACTTGCAATGCCCGGAGATTAGAGCGTTCCAGGAGATTGTATTCTTCATTGGGTTTCTACGGAATAGCTTTTCCGCATCAGAGAGTCTCCCTGAAGAGGAGTAAGCGACGATCATAGTGTTCCAAGTAAACTCATCTCTCTCAGGCATTTTATCGAACAGTTGGCGGGCTTCATTGATCCGACCAGATTTAGACAAATCTCCCAGTTCCAGATTCCTCCAGTGAAGCTTTGTTCGAACAGCATTGGTGTGAATGTTATTAAGAAACGGTGTCGAAGTAAGACGACAGTTTCTGAAATTCAATCTGAGCATCACTCTACTGATACAGTATCAAGTTCTGCTGAGTGATAAGTGATAACAACGAAAGGAGTTTTTTTTTTTAAATATATATATACTTTTTGGTAAAAATGTTAAATATTTTTTTTTATATTTTAAAAGGGAAGATAAGAACGAATATAGTTTCACTGCAATCAACATGGATTAAATTATGAAGAAGGAAATAACAGTTTCATCCAGAAAATGATACAGTAATTTGTATATTTTATTTTGAAAACATTTTATAAATTTATATTTTCATCATATGCTATAAAAGTTGTTATATATGTAATAAATTTATGTGTGATTATGGTTGATCTTGTATTTCGTTGTTTTTTTTTTTAACTTTGTTTCTTGTATTTCATTTTTTTGTATTTAATTTTACAAAGTTATATATTTATTCTTGAATCGATGGAGATGTTAAAAACAAATTTAAAAGTATAATAGAAAAAAAAACATTAAAATAGTATATAAAGTTATTTTATTACTGTTATTTGCTCTAACCAAAGTTAAACCTATGAAACTCGGTTTTCTTTTACAGTTTATTCAAATTAGTACATAAAGTTTTATTTAATTTTAATTCATCTACACATTGCATTTTGTTGCTAATACTGATAGTGATCGATGATAAAGTTCATAGTTTATAGTTTTATAGTTTACGATATGATGTCAAATAATTGAAATCAGAATTCAAATTCGCATAAAGTTAGAAAAGAATTGCAATGTTCTCTCCTTCAATCCATTATTTTATTAAAATGTGTTTGATGATATATTGTAGATCACAAATAGAAATCAAAATTTGCAATTATAACTGCAGAGGCAGCTTTTGGTCCCTACTACACACCTCCCTGTTCCATTCCTCTTTGAAGAACATTGAGCAGCACACTGATTATGTTCACAAATGCCAGTTTCTGTATAGTATTCATGGCAATCTTCTAGTCCTTGTGTTTCCTTCATCGTCATCCCTAATAATACATGTTTAATATTATGTTAATTTTTATCTGTTATAAAATTAATGCTAATGAACAAAAACTCATCAAATAAAAGATAAAAATATGAGAAATATTAAAACTATTTAAAATGTAAACAAACCTAGAACGAGAACAATCATAAAGATAGCAAGAATTGTGGTTTTAGCCATTTTGATGATATGACAAAATGCAAATCCTAAAATAAAAATTATAGATGTAAATGTGTATTGCACTCGTGAATGTTGTTATACACATAAGATACTAAAAGCAAATATATAGGTTTACAAAAATATCATAGATGCTAAACAATATGGACAGAAGAAAAAAATCATACAAAATATCTAGTAATTAATTAGATGTTTGAACAGAAAAGTCATAGAAGAACAAATAAAAATGATATCTACAAAACAGTTAAAATGAAAACACACAAGAACATAATAAATCATAATTATTAGTATGACTTGAACATTAATAAACTTTTAAAAATTCAACATATATTAAACGGACTGAATAATGATAAAGATATGAACATGAAAATAGTTATACAATTCACTTTTTCAAAAAAAAGCTTTAAATGATAACTAATATTGATAGAATTCTACTTAGTAAGTGTGATATAGTTTAGAGTAAGGTGGAATAAGTATAAGTCAACATATCTATTGTCATTTGATTTTAAATTGTTAGTAAATCATAAATTTTGATAGATATGGTCTAAAAATTTAGATTGTTGATTTAAGTAGGATGATCATCTCTAACTCTACTTCATATTTTATTCTAAAATAAAATATAAAATATAATATATAAAATATAAAACTATTACTTTATAAATAGAATAATATTTTTTTGTTTATCACGTTATTTTGGAATAAAATATACAGTGGTTTACAGATACTCTCAAAAAAGTATGTTACTTATGATTTTATCAATACAATTAAAATTAGAAAAATACACTTGGAAACGAATGTTATCAACCATAGAATTTAGCATAGTTTTTGTTGTTTTTTAATTAGCATGTGGTATCCTAGTTCCCTGGAAACGCTTAGACTATTCTGCAAAGAAAAATGCAGTTCACAAACATACCTTTTTAGATATTCAAATTGATCATAAATAAACAGTCTATATCTACGTGCCACATGATGAAATTTAGCATAGTTGACTGAGACTATACTGTTGTTATTGTTTATTCTTCTATTTTGCCGGTTGTTATTACTGTTATTCATGCTAAAATCCTAAATGGAATCAATGCAATTGAAAACCACCTATTCAACCACTGGTTTTGACAGAATTTGAATCAAAACATGGAATAATTAAAACGAAAGCAATCTATCTGCCAACCACTAATATATTCAACGGAATAATTTAATAGAATTTAATTCAAAACATAGTTTAACTCATGTAATAAAAATGGAAGCAATACATGTATATACCAATCTATTTAACACATAGAACAATTATGCTTTATACTTTTGGTCTAAAACAGAAGCATGATTCAGAAACCAATATCTTCTACAGGAAAAACATTAGGAGGAAGGATTAATGATGAACAGTTGACCACAATGCTTCAAACCAAATGAGTGTAGCCGTGTAGGCTTGCTATATCTGCTCCTCCATCAGCAACGAAACCCAAATTAAATCCACTCCAACTTGACCTCTATCTTCTTTGTCAAGACAATATTACAGTCTACAGACATAAATCATACACTACAAGGAGGATAAAAGACGATACATATCTCAATGGAAGTGATAACGTTATTGATGCTATTGAGAGTTGAGACTCCAAAACATTTGATCCCATGCAGCGTGTTTCCAGTGATTATAGATATATCAATATTCAGTGGTACATTATGTGTTAAATGGTTTCCATCTGTTCGTTTAAATGATGTTAGCCTTCCTTTAAAATTTCAATGAAAAAAACACATACACTTTTTCCTACCAAATCGTCAAGAATGGTTATACAAAATTTGAAAAAATTATGGAGCTTCTAAAACATACACGACTAAAAAACCTTCAACGTTTATTTTGTGTATAATCATTCTAAGGAAAGATTGGAACCATATATATGTTATATAAACAATTAAAAATGGACGTATATGTGGATATTTCTTTTGTTTTTTAAACTGTATTTCAGTAGCGGACCCCCAAAAAAACTATAGTTCAGTATCCAGGTCAGTTCGAATGCAAGTTCACATTCATGTAAGAATAGAAAACAGTTGCAAGAAACTACAGTCAAACCTCTATAAATTATAATATTGAGATTACACCAAAATTTTATTTTTTATGAATTTATAGAGATATTAATTTATCGATATACTAACTGAACCAAAAACTTAATTTGAGACTATAAAATTATATTATTTTATAGAGAAATTTAGTGTATATTAATTTATCGATTATTAATTTATAAAGGTTCTACTCTATTAATGTTTTTATTATAACACTCACATAGCTTATTTAGTAAAAAAAACATGGGAGAATTTCAATTATACCACTTTGTTGATACCACTTTTCATGTTTACCATCAACAAAGGAACATTTTCAAAAATACACATCTTATTAAAGGATAAAAAACTCTTATATACTTGTTCTTTATATAAATATATAAAATAAATATTAAATAAAATATTAACTCTAAACCCTAAAACATCAATTCTAAACTCTAGATCCTAAAAAGTGAACCCTAAACCCTAAAAATCAACCCTAAACCTTAAAATATCAATTCTAAACCTTAAACTCTATACTCTAAACCCTAAAAAGTAAACCCTAAACCCTAAAAAATCAACACTAAACCCTAAACTATCAATCCTAAACCCAAAACCCTAAACCCTAAATTCTAATTGTATTTTGACTATTAAAATTTTGATGGTAAAGTTGGTTAGTGTAAAGTTGAAAAGTGGTATCTTGAAAGTGTTATTTTTGGCAATTTCCCAAAAAACATTGATATAGCTTATAGATAAGAATAAAACATGACAAATGATATGAAAATTTTCTCAAAAGAAAAAAAAACATGACAAAACAAACAAGTCTAGCAAATAAAATTGCAGAGGCAAATAAAGCGTCTGTCAACTGTTCGGTAACACTGGCCAAATCCACCCAATTTCCTGTCACACAGTTCTGTGCACAAGGGTCCATCGCAGCTGTCGTTTAGGAGAATCTGACGACAGATACTCTGTCCTTGTGTCTCTTTCGCCGCCACCATCCCTACAACAATATTTTAAGAACATGAAGTCGCAGAAAACGTGCATATAATAGCATTTCAATGGTCTATATGCATTTCAATGGTCGTAATTGTAAAACAAACCTAGAAATAAGACGATGAAGATCGCAAGAGTAGTGTATTTTGTCATTTTTATGCTGATAAAAGCGGGTTTGAAGATTATTTTTTTCAAAAGGTTATAAAACTATGAGTGTGTTTGTAGACTTGTAATGTACATAAATATCATCTCTATTTATGTATGAAATTGTGCGTGTCCATAGAGTAAAATTTAGAATATCTACTATGTAAAATAAAATAAATTTTGACTAATTGGGGGCAGTTGATTTGGAAAGCAATCGTATTAATATAGGAAGAAATCATGCTAAGTAAAATAAACATTAATATTGTATAAGATTTATGATACAAGGCATAATGGAAACACGTGATTTTAAAAGCAATATGATCTTATTCAAATATAACAGTATCAGATTATAATTGATTTCTTTGACAAAAAAGAAGATTATAACTGAATTCAGTATCATTATCTATTTTGTTATTCAACCATAAGATCAAATAGAATACAAACAGCTATGCCAGTAAATAATGAATTTATGGCTATTAAATATGCATAATATTGCAACTTAGATTAGTTTCTAGTAGAAAGAAAGAAAAAGCAAGAAATCAAGTAAGAATAAAATATTATATAATTAAACTTTGAAACGACTTATTCAACCACTGGGTTTAACATAATTTGAATAAAAAAATGGGTACTCAAAACGAAAGCAATCTATTGCAAACCACTATTATATTCAGCGGAATCATTTAAAAGAATTTAATTTAAAGCATAGTTTAACTCGTGTAATAAAAACAGAAGCCAACATTAATATACCAATCTATTCAACACATAGAACAATTATGCTTTATACGCTGTTTGGTCTAAAACAGAAGCAATACATGATTTACAAACCAATATATTCAACCATATATAGGGAAACCATTCGAAACCAATCTCAAACAAAGGAATGACGTGACCCTAGTTTCAATTATACTTGTGGGATGATATCTGAGAGACACGAGAACATCCTTCAAATCAATAGTGTCTTACTGGCCACGACGAAGCTTCTAAATTGTCAAAGCAACATTACAAACTTAAACCATACACTTCGAAGAGAATAAAAGACGATACATATCTCAATGTGGAAGTGAAAACGTTAAACGTTACTGATATTAGGACTCCAAAACATTTGATCCTTGCATGCTCAGCAGCTCAGGGATCTAATAGGTTTACCATCTGTGCCACATTGTGTCTTAAATGGTTTACTTCTATTCTTTCAAATGGTGTTATAAACCCCTCCTTTAAAATTTCAACGAAAAATGCATACATTGTTTTTACCAAATACTAGTAAATTTACAAGAACGTTTAATTTGTGTATAATTAAGTTTCCGTAGCACATATATTGTGTTAAATGGTTTGCATCTATCCTTAGAATTTCAACGAAAAAGCCATGCTGCCTTTAATTTGTGTATAATTTTTTTTATGTAAGGATAGATTGGAACCATACGTTATTACGTTATTAACAATTAAAAGCGGACGTATATGAGTATATTTCTTTTGTTTCTGAACTATACTTCAGTAGCATACCCAAAAAACTTTTAGTTCAGTTTCCAGGTTAGTTCGAAACTTCGAGTCCGATACACATTAATGTAATGTATGGAAACAGTTGCAAGAAACGTTAATGTTTTTATTATAACATTCATATAGCTTATAGATGAGGATAAAACATGTTAGTCAAAAAATCAAGTCTTGCAAATAAAATTGCAGAGGCAAATAAAGCGTTTGTCAACTGTTCGGTAACACTGGCCAGTTCCACCCCATGTCTTGTCACACAGCTCTGTGCACGTGGGTCCAGTGCAGTTGTCGTTTAAGAGAGTCTGACGACAGATATGCTGTCCTTGCGTCTCTCTGGCCACCATCCCTAACAAGATATTTTAAGAACATGAGATCTTAAAAAAAACGTGCACATAATAGTATTTCATAATTTCAATGGTGGTAAATGTAAAACGAACCTAGAAATAAGACGATGAAGATCGCAAGAGTAGTGAACTTTGTCATTTTTTTATGATGATACAATTGGATTTGAAGTTCTTTTAGAAGTTTGTAAAACAATACACTTGCGGTGTACATGTAAATATCATCTCTAACATCAAAATATAGCAAAACAAAATTTCATGAAAATGGAAGATGTTGATTTGGAAATCAATCGTATTAATTAGGAAGGAAATACAGTTAAGTCAAATAAAAATAAATATTTGTAGATTCAAAAAAAAAAAGATTTGTTTAAGATTTATGATGAAAGGCATAGTGAAAACGGAAAGACGTGATTTGAAAAGCAATATCGTGTTATTCAAATATAACAGTATCAGATTATAATTGATTTCTTTGACAAAAAAAGAAGAAGATTGTAATTGAATTCAGTATCATTAACTATTTTGTTATTCAACCATAGTAACAAGTAGAATAAACAGCTATGCCAGAGGATCAAATAGAATAAAATCAGCCATGCCAGTGAAATGATGAATTTATGATTATTAGATATGCGTATTACTTAGATATTTTCGGTGTTGAGTAGGAAAAAAAAACAAGAAATCAAATAAGAATAAAATATGATATAATTAAACTTTTCAAGACTATTTCATTTAATTATGACAAAGTTATAGTATTGGAATCATGCCAAGATGTAAAATGTAAATTATTACACAAATAACCATATATTACTATGTATTAAAACTAATAAAATGAGATAAAATTTAAGGTGTATATATTTTCACATATTTTTTATTTCACAATTATTTAGTACTAGTATTGCCTAATTTTCTTACTAATTAAAGTAGTGAAACTCAATAATAACATAGAAACACGATTATCTAATATCAATTAAATTATATTAGAAGTCTTGTAAAATGTGATGATTTACTGTTGTTTTGATAGTATTCCAAATACCCCATTCATTATGTGTTTGATAATTTTCGTTAACTTTAAGCCTTTGAATTTGTACATCAAAAATCATAATCACAGATCCAATCTAATAATTGTTGAATAATATTGAGATTTACTGAAAATAGCTTTAATATTGGACCAAATCAAATAGTCCAATTCAAATAAAGTTGCAAAAATGTGCTCAAAATGTAAACCAATCTATATTTTGTCAGCAACTCAATCTATTTTAAAATCAAGACTCTGCAAAAAAAAACAAAAAATAAAAAAAAAAACAAAAAAACACACACACACAACACACACAAGAAACATTCTTAATCTTTTTTAAACCAGCAAATATATCAACGCTAATAACATGATTTTGATGGAGATTTATAATAATCAAGTTTATATATTAAAAATAAGAAAAAAACACACGAGAAACATTCTTAATCATTTTTAAAACCACCAAAAAATTTCAACGCTAATAACATGATTTCGATGGAGATTTATAACAATCAAGTTTATATTATTTTTTTGATCAAAATCAAGTTTATATATTTAAAAAATAAAAAATGGAACATTCATTGAACAAACGAACCTGAATAGAGAGACATTCCCTTATCGTTCCCAAAAACCTTCGCCACATTTCCAGCGATTCCAAACCCGACCCATCTAAATCCCCTCCCTTCCGGATCGACCCGTTAACCAAAGATCCAACCTTTATCACATCAATCCACCGATGGACGCTTCACCGCTCCTAACCCGCAACCGCCGCACAATCCCACGCCCCTCGCAGCCTCTCCGCGGCGCGGCGTCGAGGCTCCTCCGCCGCGCGAGCAACCGTCGTATGATGCTCCGTGAGCCCTCCGTGAGAGTCCGCGAAGTGGCGGCTGAGCAGCTCGAGGAGAGGCAGAGTCAGTGGGCCTACTCGAGGCCCATCATAGCTTTGGATATACTTTGGAACTTTGTGTTTGTGATTGTGTCTGTTGGGGTTTTAGGGTTTTTTAGTAGTGAAGAGAGTCCTGAGGTGCCTTTGAGGTTGTGGATTGTTGGGTATTGTGTTCAGTGTTTGTTTCACGTTGGTTGTGTGATTGGTGAGTTTAAAAGGAGACGAAGAGGAGAAGGTAGTGGAGAGGAGACTTCGAATCATGGGTCTTTTAGTGGAAGTGAAGATGAATCTGATGGTTATGGTGTTGAGGATGGTGATGATGATCATCGAGCTAGGTAAAGGTTCAATCTTTACTCTGTTTTGTGCTCTGTTTCATTGATGTGTAACTCTTTACTCTGTTTCATTGATGTGTAAAGTTTACATCTTTAGTCTGTTTCATTGATGTGTAAAGTTTCAATCTTTACTATGTTTGCTCTGTTTACTCTGTTTCATTGATGCGTACTCCTTTACTCTGTGTACTCTGTTTCATTGATGCATACTCTTTACTCTGTTTACTCTGTTTCATTAATGTGTAAAGTTTCCATCTTTACTCTGTTTCCTTGATGTGTAAAGTTTCAATCTTTATTCCGTTTGCTCTGTTTACTCTTTTTCATTGATGCATACTCCTTTACTCTGTGTACTCTGTTTCATTGATGTGTAAAGTTTCTATCTTTAAGATTTTATATTAATGTTGAAGTGAATGTACTCTTTCACTCTGTTTTGTACTCTTGTACTCTGTTTACTCTGTTTCATTGATGTGTAACTCTTTGCTCTGTTTCAGTTTCGCCAAGCACCTTGAGTCTGCGAATACGATGTTCTCTTTTGTGTGGTGGATCATTGGGTTTTACTGGGTCACTGGTGATACAGAGGAAATGGCTCAGTCTTCCCCTCATCTCTACTGGTTTGTTAGCTGGAAAAAATAACAAATCTTTGTTTTTTTATCTTCTTAAAAGATTGTTTCTTTGATCCTTTTTGGTGTTTTTTTGCAGGTTATGTGTTGCATTCCTTGCTTTTGATGTTATCTTCGTTGTCATTTGCGTCGCGGTTGCTAGTCTAATCGGTATTGCTGTTTGCTGCTGCTTACCTTGCATCATCGCCATCTTGTACGCATTAGCAGATCAGGTAAAAAAGAAAACAAAAGTTCAGTCTTGATACATTGTAATAAGCAAAGCTACTAGTAAACTTCTTTTGATATTTGAATGTGTTTATTATTGTTGTTAATATTTTCAGGAAGGTGCGCCTGATGAAGAGATAGAGAGGCTTTCAAAATTCAAGTTTCTCACGGTAAAGAGTTCTGAGAAAGTGAATGGCGAAGTCCAAGAAACTCAAGGAGGGATAATGACTGAGTTAGGTGTTGATTCTCAAACCGAACGCATGATAGCTAGCGATGATGCTGTAAGTAACCAAACTCAAGGTCCTGTTCTTTTCGATATTTAGATATATATAGAGACACTGAAATGATTTGAGTGGTTACAGGAATGTAGCATTTGTCTGTGTACGTACGAAGATGGAGTAGAGCTTAGGGAACTTCCTTGTAGACACCACTTCCATAGTTTATGTGTAGACAAATGGCTAAGGATCAACGCCACTTGCCCTCTCTGCAAGTTCAATATTCTCAAAAATGAACATAGTGGCAGTGAACAAGTGTGAGGAGGAAGAAGAACAAGAAGAAGAAGAAGATTCATTTCTCACTTGAGTTAATGTATACGAATGTGATGAGCTGCTCATCATCATCACTATCAGTCACTACCTTATAATAGCCTCGTTTATTATTTGACTACTATAGAGGGAAGACGAGAGGAGACTGTAAGATTTTGTTTTTGAGAACAAAGCTGCACTTCTTGTTTTTTGTTTGGTTTCTTTCTTTATATAATTTTGTAAATGCAATAAGTAAATAGTTCGGTTGAAAGATGTTTTACTTGAGACGAGTCAGACAAATCTAAATTTGATTTCTTCACGGTTGTGAAAAACTATTCGACCAACCAAATTAAATTGACGGTTGGTGAGCTGGTTACAACGACGTGATCATAACGTTCTAAAGATTGTTTAAGTCGGCTTTGGATTAACAACGAGAGAAGCGTGTGGATTTGTCCAAGGCTTTAATAATCAAAATGCAGTTTCAGCTAGTGGACCAAAACAAAGAGTCGGCACTTGCGGCGCCCACAAACTTTTACCAAAACTAGCAAAAAAGGAACTAAAATCACTTCTAATTTCGTCAAGAAAGGAGGAAATTTTTTTATTTAAAACAAAAATATATATCAGGAGTTAATCCGGATCTTCCGGTCCAACTAAACTTCTTCGAAAAGATAAAGGTATTTCAATAGTTTACCTCATCTACTCTATTAAAATAAGTAAACTCAAAATAAATTTATTTTTTGCTATAGTTTCTTTTTCATTTTTCTCTCAAAAAGACTATTTAAGTAAATTATATCATTACTATTTATTATTACGTAAATACTTATTATATTATAATATTTATTAATTTTACTCAAATGGATATTAATATAAACTAAATCTTCATTATATACATATTAAGTTTAATTTCTAAAAAAGATATAACAATGAGAAAATGACTAAAATAGACCTAAATTTTTTTTTATCACAAATATAGACATTAACAATTAAAATGATCAAAATATCACTTAAATGTTTTATTAAATATACATTTATACCACTTGGTTAATTAATCCTATATTTTTTTGTTTAGAGTTGAGGAGTGGGTTTTGGAGATAGGGTTTCGAATTTAAAAAAATTAAAAAAAAAACTTAAAATTTTCAAAATAAAAAGTGATATTTTGGTCATTTTAATTTTTGAAGTCTTTTTGTGTGATAAAAATTTAAAAGAGGGCTATTTGAGAGAATTGCCCTATAATAATTTATATAAAGTTATAATTGTATTATTAAAGTATTAATACTTTCTTTAAAGTATAAAACCTAAACACTGAATATCTTAGATCAAAAAAGTTTAAAGACTAATTTATTACTACAAAGCTTACCACTAATTTGAGGAAACACTTTTACAAATTCATTTTTTTCTCTAAGAAGACCATTAAAAAAATTCTTTCATTTTGACGTTTTTCCCTAAAATGAAGAACATTTAGAAATGATCTAAATGCCAACTTTTAGTTACTTTTAGATTTTTAGAACCTATAGCACAAGTGCCTCGAATATTTTTGGCACAGTTTAATTTAAAATAAATTAATGGGAAAAAAAAGAGACGATCAGAGGCGCACCACATGTTCTGTAAAAAGAAACGATCAGAGGCGCACCCACATGATCTGTAAAGAGACGTTCGTGACAAAGCCAGTCACCAAAGGTGCTTTTATCCTCACCGCGGTCGACTGACTTCACGTGGAGACAATCGAACCGGCCACTACTTTACATCCGTGGAAGTCTTATCTCTATACTGTCATGTCAGAATAAATAATTTAAGAGTGATTTAGTGAACTACCCATATTTGAAGCTCAAATTAGCAAAATACCATTGATTGGACATAAATGACACTGACACAACCATTTGGCAAGGAAATGCCGAGAATACCCTTTCTCTTTCCTCTCATTAACACGAAGCGTAAAAACATTTGTTAACATATAACACTTCTGTTAACGTCTACAATATTTGTTAACAGCCAACACATTTATTACCGCGAAGCGTAAAAAGAATTGTTAACAGTTAACACTTTTGTTAACGTCTACAATATTTGTTAACAGCGAATATATTTATTAACGTGAAACGTAAAAATAATTGTTAACAATTAACACTTCTGTTAACGTCTACAATATTTGTTAACCGCTAACACGACGTCGAATCTAAAACCCAGAAAATTGATATCATCAAAAAATGGAGGATTCAAAGCCACTTATAAAAAAAATAATGAAATTTAAAATTTAATTGTATGTACTTCTCTAATATCAACACCAAATATGGATACTTCTCTAACGTCTACAATATTTGTTAACAATCAACACATTTAAAAATTATATATTTAATAGAGGTGTTATGTATAAACTATTATTTAAGAATCAAAGTGAACTCAAAAATATTTAACATATTTATTTTGCATGTAATTCATTAAGAAAATGATAAGAGGAGAGAAATGAAAAAAAAAAAGGAGACACCCACATGTAAATGCAGGAAGGAAGAAGAGAGAGAGAAAGAAGGGCAATTTGGTCATACAAAATAAATATGTCTCATCATGGGCAAGTGACTAATATAGACCCTCATTTGGGGTGTATCGGCCAATTAACTCATAATTTAACTCAGAATCTGAATATTTTTATGTCAACTCCACCTTTTTAAAGTCTAATGGTATACAGTATGTTCCAGTCCAAATGGTTTTTGCGTGGTACCAAAAAGAAAGGAAAAAAAAGAATCTTCTCTATTAAAAGATAAGTACCAAATTTATCTACCGTTTAAAAGTCATGTTGGACCATATCATTAGTTATTTAATTTGACATATTTGATTTTTACATTAACCAATCAAATATATATTATTTTCAAAATATCTTAATAGTTAATAAGGATATTAATAATAAATGAATTTAAATATAACAAAATTTGTTGAAAAAATCTAACAAGATCTCATCAAAAAAAATTTAAATATTTTTTATAAAATAAGTATTTTTTTAATTTCGTTATTAGATATAATTATATTTAAAACTAGAATATAAATCATATATTTAAAAAAAAAATTAAATATTTATAAAATGGAAAATAAACCCGCACGGATGTGCGGGTGAAACTCTAGTTCTAATTTAAAATTTGTAAGGCAGTCAATACTTTTACTGATATAATTATGATAAATTTGTCTGCCAGTGGAATAAACATTCTCAAATGCTTAAAATAACTGTAACATCTTATTTAAATTGTCACTTGCAATAAAAAAAAAATACTCGAATTAATTTTCTATATTATTTTATTTGATTTTTTTTTAAAAGATCCACCGGCCACGAATCACCGCGCAATCGGGGAACGTTATTATCATCTATTATATAATAAAACTCTGTTGCAAGTGTTTTAACTTTTCGTCTAACACACGACGAACACGTATCTAGAGTTATAGAACAAGTTTTGACTTTAATATTGAACCTTGTAATCCTTTTTGTTTCCAAACATCAAATAATTTTTGTGTATAGTAACAAAAAATAATTAATCACAAGTCTTTGTCCACCCAAACACCACCAAACTTACGTTGGCCGTTGAAGCACGCACCAAACAGGAACTCCTGTAACAATCCGACCACCATATCCATCAACAGAAGGAGCCTCTGGTCTATGTCTCCACGGGCCCGTTCCCGCTTGCGACGAACAAGCTCCATAATCTTTGGAAGAAGACTTGAACTCATGATCTGTGGAATTAGGTTTAACCATGATTGAAACATTCACGATTCCACACTTATCCCCAAACTCATCTCTTAACCTATAGCACAAGAAATTCAAATGACCTTCAGGTGAATACCTTCCCATGAAGTCTGACGTTGGGATCTTAGCTTCTCCTATCTTCTTCTCACGTCCAGAACTTGTTCGATACCACACCTCGACGTATATGAACTGTACACTCACGTTGATGGGCATCTCCAGCTTGTAGTCCCACGTTGGACTGCTTCCTCGTGACACGTCAAGATGCGACGTTCGAGCCTTCTCACCGATTCTTACGACCGCGAAAGTCTTTTTGTTTAAGAGTCTTCGGTTTAACTTGAGCCCTTCTGCTGATCTTACGTCAATCTCAAGTGTCTTTGTCATTATTGGTGTATATAAACGAGGATGATCAGTTCTACGTATATATATCATAAGTTGTTTTTGTATTAGTATGCACATATATGTATTGATCTAATCATTTAAACAGAGGTAACATGCTGTTGTTATATATAGGGAGACAATGTCATTGATGATTGAGCTTTAAATACAAGATGGTCCACGAAGGTGATTGGGAAGTTCACGAAGAAGTACCCAGGTTTTTTCTTCTCTATTTCCCGTATTATAATGATGTCGACGAAAATAAAAATTGGCAAAAAGAGAAGACTTTAATTTTATATTTTTTTTTAAAGCATATTGTTACATTTTTGTTTCTTTTTCTAAAAAAAAAATCCAATCGCAATAAAAATTTCCTACGTATAAAAATCATTTTGTTCTATTTAATTTACGAATATTTATATTTATTAAGAAATAAATAAAGTGAGCTTTTTATATTTTGTGAGTTAGTAGTGACTTTAGATAAAGTGTTCTATACGTATATATTAAGTATATTTTCAAATCTCGAGATAGCTTTATTATTTATTTCTAGCATCATCGCACGCCATAACTTTATATTCCTTTCGTTTCGAATTAGATGTCATTCTAGAGGAAAAATTTCTTTTTAAAATAAGTGTCGTTTTAGAGTTTCGAAACAAAATTTATTATGTTTATATGATATTCTATTTTTTTATTGGTTGAAAAGTGGTTAGGTGTATTGGTAATTGTGTTTTATATTGAAAATATGTAAAATTAAATGTTTCCTTAATCTATATGTAAAAATCTAGAATGACAAATAATCTGAAACGGAAGGAGTATAATATTACAGTATACTTTTATTAGAAGGAAAAAGTATTTTTCTGAATATATAACAACAACGGCATGAAATATCCAGCCGACTCCAGCTGCGTGAGGAATGCGCGCGGCTGTTAAATTAAGTGCGTTCAAACGGCTATGAAACAAGTGTAACAAAGGAAAGTACTCGTATCTTTCTTGCTTCAACTCGTTTCAATTAAAATTATTAATTAATACTTCTTCCGTTTCAAAATACTAATCATGCTAAACTTAATTTTTTGTTACAAATTAAGTGTCGTTTTATTATTTTAAGGCAAAATTTATTAGTTTTATATAATATTATATTTTTATATTCGTTAAAAAGTGGTTAGGTGTATAGATAATTGTGTTTTATCTTGAAAATATGTAAAATTAAATGTTTTATTAATCTGTGTGCAAAAACATACAATGACAACTAAAGTAAAACGAATTGAGTATTAATTACGCTTTCTGTTTCATATTAAGTGTCGTTGTATAAATTTTTTTTTGTTACAAAATAAGTGTCGTTTTTGGTTTTCAGTTTTCAATGAAAAATTTATTAACTTTATTGTATAACTTATTTTCTAATGATTAAAATGTGCTTAGATGTATAGATAATTATGTTTTTATATAGGAAATATGTAAAATTAATTGTTTATTTAATCCGTGTGTATAACTCTAAAATAACAATTATAATAAATAAGTAATGGGATCTCATTTTCAGTGTACATGCCTGTTTTTCTCGCACACTCCTAGCTTGGGATTTCCTAGCATGTACAGTATATACTTCTTATCGTGTAGAATAAGCTAAAACTATGGTACCACTTTTGTCATGCTCGTATTTTTGCTACTTTTTGATATAGCGAGACACAGTCAAATTGTTAGTGCAAAAAAGTTTCTAAAATTGCGATTTCTCAAAAATAAAAAGTTTATAAATTTGAAATATTGTCACCAAGTGGTCAAAGTTTGTAGTGGATGAAGGTGTGCCAATTTGATTGTACTCTAATAACAATTAAAATGTTCTTTTGTGCTTTATATTTTCCACATACTATCATTTTTAGAATATTTACATAGACTTTGTTAGTATTATGAATATTTGTTCCTAATGATATCATATTATATAGTATAAGAGTTGAAAAGTTTTAACTCTCGATAGTCTTGATATATATTTTGTTGTTGACGAAGACGTAAATTTACTATTAGTTAGGACTTACAGATTCAAGATAATAAACATCATTACTTTTTTTTCTCAGTGTTCGAATAATCAACTTGTGAGAATTTTTCTCTGCGAAAATCCGTGGAAACTTATCTTAATTTTAACCTACTTCACCAAGATCGTTCCACTCATTTGAAAAAAAAAGTTCGTGACTAAATGAAAACTATAGAAAGTTTTGTTCTAAAATTTAAATATAACTACTTCCGTATTCTAATTGACGATGTAGATGAAGACTGTGTACAATTGTGTTTGTATGAGTCGTAGACTCGGCGTGTGTCGTACAATATATACTCTTCTTGACCGGATGTGTACTTGGGCCATTCCTTAATTCTTTGATTATGGGACAAAAACTCAAAACTCTCACAATTTTAAAAGACTACAAAAACTTAACTAAATATTTTATTATGTCTCCTACCAAGAAGAATCAGTAACTTTCAAGCGCAAACACACAAAAGACCCACTTGATAATAGATACAGATATATCATATAGTTTATGTTTTCAAATATGCATGCGCATTATATGAGCATTTTACGGAAATGCCAAAAAGGCACATAGTCATTTAATACAACTATTATATCGAGTGTTGCGGGACTTTCGACTTCTCTCACGTACTGGAATTTCACTTCGGCACATAATCATTTATTTATAAATAGCTTATAACTTTTTTCTTTAATGTGCTATATCAGCTGATCAGGTCAGTACAATGAAAGATGCACCTACTGATGAAGTGGATTACATACCATAATGTCTAATCCGAAATTATAATGTTTTTGACTAATGACATAAGACAACCAAATCGTCAGTTACTAGACTACCATATAAATTATATTGGCCGAAATTCAACTCTAGACTGGTGAAGTCGCAGCAACTTTGTTCTCTCATCCAAGTAAACTGTAAATTGTATGGGCTGCAATCCAAACCTATATACTCAATTCATGACATATGAAGTTATACTATGGTTCAAATCTCTTATTACGAGATCACCACTACTTGGTTGCTTATAATTTGATTCTTTTTCGTTTATGTTTCTTTTAAGTTTTTGTGTAACATTGTATATTTTTTTCTTTTCCAAATCCAGTTATGAATGATGTAGAAAAAAATATATTATAATTATCTTTATTTCTTCATTTTCTGCGTCAAGATCTCTGATCTCAAACAATCTATAACAATAAAAGTATACAGATAGTCTTCTCATAACATGAAAAGCTACAATTTATGTCCATTCGGTTTGGAGTAAGAACAACTTAACGTCCCACAACACCCAGGAGCCACACACTTATCACGGTCATATTCATGTACAATGATCATATAATATATGAATAGAAGTAAATTCATATGTGAAACTAATTTCTGTGTTCTAATCAAACGGTTATGTGTGCGAGGTGAGTGTGACATATTTGTATCAAATTTAAGATAGATTAATTGCCATGGTATTTTAAACCTTCTGTTGTTATTTCCCAACTTTCTATTGTGATACATAGTCATGTTCCTTTTTGGTTTGTTTTGAACATAAGGTGAATGGTCATATATTATGTAGATCAAACTTTGCTTATATCATGCTTCTGTTGGAAGCATCATGTGGATGCTCTTATTGCTTCTGTTGGATGCATCATGCATGCGCGCATCACAGTAGGAGTTGCATGCATCAGTGGGTGACGTGATCATTAGGTACCGCTAGCCGATTTTGTGGAAAAAATTCCCATAAACTAGTTAATTAAGTACTTCCTAAAAACCTAATATTTTAAGTATTTTAAGTATATATCAATCATAGTGAGTTGTGTTAAAAAAAAGAAGAAGTATATATCAAAGTGAGTAGGATATATATATATGTAAACCAAGTAATGATAGTGTAGTGGTAATTTTTAATTTTTAGAGCTTAGTATATATTCATATCAATTTTGAATTCGATTCTCTTTAAACTTAAATTATCATTAATTTGGATTTCAGCTCAAATGGTTTATATGGTGGATCGTAACAGATGATTATCCATGATATTAATCGGAAGTTATTCCAAATTTGAATTAGATAGTCTGATATCCAATATACTCTATAATACTAAACGCATTTTTTTCGAATCGAGTGAGCCGATAGAGTTTATTAAAAAAAAAGTAGGATACATGTACCAACTTTAACACTTGCGTGTAAAATACTTTCGTACTTAACATATTTATAATTTATTTTGTAAAATTTTACTTGGCGAAAGAAAGCAATGATGTGTTGACAAAAATAAAATAAATCAATGATGTCTAATCATTATAATCATAGTTAGTTTGTAATTTTATCAATTTTTTCAACGTGTTTTATTTCATTGCTCATTGCCCTTTTTGTCAAGAGTGGAGTTGAATCAACAAATAACACAATCACCGATTGAGTTCACTTTCAAGTGACAAGGCATTTGATACTGTTTTTTGCATATAGGACAGATGGAAATTAATCAATTATGAGGATCCGAATTTGATTCGAAACCTATTAAAATAATAGATTTAAAAATTTAAACAGTAGTGGTTGGAGGACCAATGATAAATAAAGACAATGAAATAAGACAAATCTCTCTGCCTGGGTTTCTATTACAATATTAGCGATCTAAGTTGAGTGGGTAACACGAGCTAGTATATGAAAATATGATTTTATTTATTTATTTTGATTGGTTTTAAAGTAAAATTCATAATTATTTTTCGTAAAAATGTTAAGTATAATTACCATTTTCAGTTTGTGATAGAACTACGTAAATTAAACTAATTGACAACACCCCAAAAAAATGAAAAAACGCAAGCAAACTAAAACATGCAAGAGATCACCTACGCATCATTGCCTTAACTGAAGGGGGAGGATAGCAATAGCAGTTGTGAAGGTGAGAGCTTCGGTTAAACGCGAGCTAGGACTCGGTTAATATCGGCCATTCCCAGTGTCCGCCTCGTAAAGATTATCACTCAACCCGCACAAACCTCCAAAGCAGCCAAGCAGGAATGCCACTAACGTAGAGACAACCGCCAAGTTAAGGACAAAACTGACGCATTTATTCGGAATGGAGACAACGACAACAACACCACACCACCAAAGAAAGAACAAAAAACACCACTCCGTGATCAGAGCGGACAGACACCAGCCTTAGATCAAGTTTCTGTAACCGGACTGCTCAATACGCGCCACAGAAGTAAGAGGGCTCCGGGTGACAAGCCCTAGCTCCCTGATCTTAGTAAATCTAAATGAATATATGACCTAAAACATGTTAGAATAACTCGTTTTAAGAAGAAAAAAAATCAAATATGAATATATGAACCTTAGTATCAACTAATTTGAAATTAAATACAATAATTCATCACATTCTTAATTTTCTTATGTTAAGTTGCCAACACATTTTTCCACCATAGTACTTTGCCACTATAGGTTATTCAGTTATTCAATTGATTCATCTAGCACCTTGGCACGCCATTTTTCAAATTGAAAGAAATTATAAATAGATTGCCATAAAAAAATGCTAATTATGCATATATTCATGATGAAGTGATATGTCAGTATCATTATCATTTTAAAGCTTATAATCTGGTATATTCCTCCACATGAATTTCACCGGTTAGAGCCTAGTCAGTAGTCAGTTCGTGATCTTCTCACATTTTTATAGAAATAAAATTAGGTGAATGGATTTATTAATAATTTTTGGAAGAAACTTATGACTGACGTTGCATATATCCGAAGTTGATCTAATAATTACCTAACGGGAGAGTCTTTTTGTATTAAATTTCCATGAACTTCTTCCACATGTCTACTCTTTTTTTTTCGTCTGAGTTCCACATCTCTACTCTATTTCGTAATTTTCTTTTGCATCTATGTCAGATAATGCGCAGCCATGTGTGCGTTGCGTTTATACGCACTAGTCCGTGACGTCATGAACTCATGATACGTCTTACCTATCTTTTATTTGACAGAATATGGTTATATAGTATATACACAACTTGCACATATATAGATTAGTGAATTTAATAGAAGTATCAAGTATTAAGACGCCGTGACTTTGAAAGTGTTTGATCCGAAAAACAGAGGAGAATTGTGAACATTACTTCACCACTCGTGAATGTGTGAATGTCTTCACGCAAATGATTTTAGAGCCAATTTTTTTCTTTTTTTAATTAAAAAAAAAGTTATCGGCCAAACTCTTAATTTCATTGGACCAAAGACGAGATAATAGCTAAATTTTCTCTCCACAGCTGATGAGACTCAATCTGATATCTCTATCTTTAGTGCAAAATGATTTAGTAGAAGTAACAGCTCCAGGTAAGGCCAAAATTATGATCAGGGTTTATGTGGTTCTCTCTCTACTCCAAGTTTGAGGGAATATTTGCCAATTCTATTTTAACCAAATCTGATTCAGTTTGATCCTTACAAATAGGCATGGGCGTTCGGGTCGGGTTTTTCGGAATTCGGTTCTATTTTATAACATCTCCTAAGTCTCATTTTAGTAAATTTTCTAGTACGAATCGGGTTCGGATATAATACATCGGTTTCGGGTCGGTTTTGTATCACATCCTAGAACCCATAAAGTAATCATATATCATTCGGATTCGAGTTATATCGGATCAGTCCGGATATATCCAAAGTAAAATCCAAAATTTAAAAGCAAAACATGAGAAATATATACTTATTCATATGTAATCGAGTATTTAAGGTACTTATTTAAAATTTTGTTAGATATCATATTAAAATAAATAGAAAATTGAATATTTGAAGTATATATTTATATTGTATATTAATTTGGATATTCAGATCGGTTTATTCGGATGTTTTTTCGGATTTTTCGGGTTTTCGGGTTTTTCAGATTACCCGTTCGGATTCGGTTAATAACACTCTGGGTTCGGATATATCTAGTTACAAAAATGTTTCTATGGTTCTCTTTTTTTTTTCTGTGGCTGATAGGCCCATTACACATGCCTACGATGGGTATTCAAGAAGTCAAAATACAAACCATGAGACGTCTGATAATTGTATCATTATTCAAGAGCGATTACAGTACTAGCAAATATATCATCATGGATTCATAATATAATTCATAAACACTGCAAAGTTATATATAGTACGAAACTATAGACTATATACTATATACTCTCTGATTTTCGGTCCAATGCATTACGTCATGTAGAACATTCGTTTTGAGAACAGATACACTTTGCTTTCGGTTTCCCACTCTTAACAACCAGAACGACTCTCACTGCAGTCGATAAGAAATAAAAAAGAGTTAAGAAAAATTCAGTATATTTATACGATACATAGTTTTATATCAAGTGTTACGTACCTAGAGTTTTCCAGCGAGCATAAATGCCCTGTAAGCAACATCCTTGACTTGATTCTGATCACCCCAAGCTTCCTTAAACTCATTAATCATCGAAGGTTTCAAAAGCTCTGCTCCTTGCTCCTTAGCCTTCACTAGAGGCTGCCAAGATTTAAAGAACCCTAAATACCCATCAAGCGAAAGCTTATGTGGAATCTCGAGAGCTTTAGGCCTTCCTTGACTCCCCAATCTTATATTTATAAAAGGAAACTCTATTGCTTTATAACCATCAAAGGCCAAATTCATAGTTGGAGTTCTGTACGGTTTTGTTGAATCCACCAGACGTTTCATGATGGCATCAACCTTTGGGGTGACCACGAGGTCGTTGTAGACCCAAGCCGCGATTATACCACCTTCTTTACGGAGAACACGTCTCACAATGGCATAGAATCTTTTTAGGTCGAAATAGTGGAGAGATTGAGCGGCTACAATGAGATCTATGGAGTTTTCTCCACCGAGTTTAGCCACTAGATCGTCGTCTGACATTGATGCTGGAGTGTGAAGGTATGTGACTTTTGGGTGCGGCTTTGCAAGACTGATCTGTTTTTCGTTTATATCAGTTGCCACCACTTTTTGGTAGTAATCAGCGACCTATTTGCACATACATAATTAACATCACGATTTGTTCGTAAAAATTAGAAGATTCTATTATTGATGAGCCTAACTCACACCCAAAAGCTAGCTCAAAAGTGTAAGATTGCCTATACACATATATATTATCCAAGGAACATCAACATAAGCGATGTGGGACTTTAATAGATTCTAGTACTTTGAGTGAACTGGTGTGGCAAAGGCTATAAAAAAACTATCTTGGTTTGTTGATAAATTTATAAGTATAGAAAAATATAACAAAAACATATAAAGTAGATGAGAAAGATAACATACACCAAGTGCAGCCTGACCGTTACCGGTCCCAACATCCCAAGCCACCTTGTGGTCGCTGGTTCGACCAGCCAACACTTTGTACCATATTGTCGGATATGTTGGCCTTGCGTTCAGGTATTCATTAGCTTGCTTATCCGTCAAAGTAGCCATTTGAGCCATTTTTTTTTGTTTTTATTATATTGTTTTTTTTTTCCTTTTTTTCGTTGGTTCTGGTTAATAAATTGCATTTTTGCTTCATGGGTTTATTTATAGTCTCGAAATTTTGGAAGGAACAGAAAAAAAAACGAACCTCATGCTCCACTCAACTTGTACCTCTAGACTATCAGTTAGGACTTAATTTTATTTATTCTTTAGAGATAATGATTCTAGACAATGAAACCTGATTCTCCTTCACTATCAAAATACAGAAAAATCTTTGTCAAATACATCCATGACATCACTAATCTATTTTTCTTGTCAAAATACGGAAATTATTTGTTCTTTCTAAACTGTGAAACTATTTGTTACGATAACTTAGAATTAATTATCGCATTTATGCCTCAATCCACTATAACGACAATTTTTAGCTATGTTCTCTACGAATAGAATAAACATTCGACAATGCATGATCACGTAGGAATATATTAGTCACCCACCTTGTCCTATTGAAAAGAGAGTATAAATCGTTGCAAGATTTTTTTTTTTTTTAAATATTGGTGGCATGAATTTAAATCATTGACGGTATAAAACAGTGTTGTGATTAGAATTCTAAACAACATGATTTTAAGTAAAACGTTTTGAAAAAACATTTAAATAGGACATGATTATGATTGGATTTCAAGACTAGGAACCATGGAGTATCTGGTCTCGTAATGCATCAGCATGAATCAGCACATGTGAACACACGCAACGGCGTCGGATTAAAGCTCATTCTGGGATAAACTTTGAGTTATGTAAAGCCCAAAATATAAAAACAATTCTTCCTAGGCCTCTTCGAACCTAAAAGTTCAAATTATTAGCGGTGAGATTGTCACCGACGAACGTGAATCTCGTCTTTTGTTTTGGGCCACTCACCCTGATCATCAGTTTCTTGAGCTACGTGGCTTCATTAGCTTCCACATTTTTATTGCATGCCAAGAAGAAAGAGTATAACTCATACTGTTGAAACTGTTTGTCTGAAACCCTGAAAGAAAAAAAAAAGGTTCGAAAATGACGGAGGAAACACCAAGGTATGTCTCAGTCATCATCCCTTTAGCTTCATCTGTGATCTTAATGATTTATCAGTTTTCTTTTTCTTTTTCTTGGTTATTATTTTGTAGATATGCTGTAGTTACTGGAGCAAACAGGGGGATTGGGTTAGAGATCTGCAAACAATTAGCGAACAATGGGATTAGAGTCGTTTTGACCTCTAGAGACGAGAAGAAAGGACTTGAAGCTGTTCAGACACTGAGGCAAGAGATTGGTGTTTCTGATCAAACTCTTGTCTTTCATCAGCTTGATGTCACTGATCATGCTAGTGTCACATCTCTTGCCGAGTTTGTTAAAACCCAATTTGGAAAACTCGATATCCTGGTATGATTAAGCTATTGTTTTTTTTTTTTTTTTTTATGATTAAGCTGCTACTATTAGACTTGTGATTAACAGTTCTAGTAACGCTTAATCTTAATTTGAAAAAAGCCATATTCTATAAAATATACCTGTGAACAAATGCGAATTTAACCTTGAAGAAAGCAAAGAAACTTAATAGATCAAAACACGATTAAAGCAACTATTGTTTAGAGTTTATATATGAGTTAGCTAGGTAGTTACAATCCTTTGATCCACATTTATACTAATTCACAAACCCTATATTCCATTTTCTTTTAAGAAAACATCCCTTTTTGGTGAAAAAAATCATCTTTATCTACTAGCTAGAGGTCACAAAGAATGTGACATTTTGAGTAAGTTCCATAATTAACGATAGTGTGTTTATGTAGTGTTGAGTGATCTTTTGATTGCTTTTACACAGATCAATAACGCAGGGGTTGGTGGTACAATTACTGATGTTGATACTCTATTAGCTGGAGCAGGGAAAGTAAGTATGATAATAATATTGGTGAATCATTGTCATAGTATAATGCTTTCTTCTTGATTTCACATGGCAGGTAGGTTTCAACTGGGAAGAGACTATCACAGAGAACTATGAGCTAGCTAAAGAATGCATGAATATTAATTACTATGGACCAAAGAGAATGTGCGAGGCGTTTATTCCACTTTTGAAGTTATCTGATTCTCCTAGAATCGTCAATGTATCATCCTTCATGGGTCAACTAAAGGTACGTACCCAAAAAAAAAATTCAAGAAAGCTTGAGATATGTTGGTAGATAATAAACTCTATCATTGATGTTTACTAGGGTATATTTAATGAATGGGCAAAAGGAGTTCTGAGTGACGCAGAGAATCTAACGGAGGAAAGAATCGACGAAGTAATTAACAAACTTCTTGATGAGTTCAAAGAAGGAAAGATTAAGACAAAAGACTGGGCTAGTGTTATGTCCGCATACGTGGTTTCCAAGGCAGGGTTGAACGGTTACACGAGGATCATAGCCAAGAAACATCCAGAGATTCGCGTGAACGCTGTTTGTCCTGGCTTTGTTAAGACGGATATGAATTATAAGACTGGAGTTTTGTCTGTGGAAGAGGGAGCATCAAGTCCTGTGAGATTGGCTTTGCTTCCGCATCAAGAAACTACTTCTGGTTGTTTCTTTAACCGCAAGGAACTCTCAGAGTTCTAAACTTCTGCATGTGGAAATGTTATCAACTCTAAAAAAATACGTAATGTAATGGGATAATGATTGTCATAGAGATTTTACGATGGTTCAGAAGATATGTTGTTATTCATTGCATGCATGAAGACATTCACTTAGTAGGTTACGAGAGTAACAATTATATGTGTGTTTAATACATTACTTATGATATCATAAATGACCAAATAAAACATTTGTTTTTGCTCCCAAATTGTCAAAAATATTTATTAAGATTAACCTAAAAATGTTTTTGGCCCATGGTCTCTCTGGCCATGTAAAATGTACAAACTGCATGTTGTATAGAACCAAGATTAACTTAGGAATCATGTTCTTCACCTGCTTCAAGGGCTGCACCAGAAGTGTCTTCTTCTTCTTCTGTAGAGTTTGATTCATTTTCGTTTGGTTCGGTTTTATCTTCCTCAGGTGTGCGTCGGTGGTTAGCAGCGGCTAGGACATGACTGTAGTTACCTTTCTCTAGAAAAAGCTGATTAAAATGGACCTTACAGTAAAGGATGCCATTGAGAGCAGCATATGAAGAGTGTGTTAATGTACAACCACCGTGTGCACATCTAAAGCAAGTCTTGTGGTAAGATTCTCCTTCCATTGTGATCTTCTCTAGAGGATAAACGGTTTTTTTACAAGCTGCACATTTGTCTTGTGTACCACTAAAGAAGGACGATAACTTGTTTGGAGCCCTCGTCTAGATTCAAACATAAAATCAGATTAAATATTGAGATAATGAACAACAAAAAAAACAGAGAAATGTTTGATTGATTACCATTTCATTCGATTTATCGGTCTTTCCTGCTGTACATAACCATAAAAAGTAGCCAAGATTGTTAGCTTTTCAACATTAGGTTAAAAGAACAAAGCAGAAAAATAGAGAATTCTTTAAACCTGTCTGAAAATTCTTGCTGAAGTTTCCAGATTCTTTGAAGAGTTGTTCAAAATGGTGTTTGCAATACAGAACTCCATCCATTGATGAGTAGTTGCTAATCTGCAAAAGATAAGAAAGATTCTCCTTTGTTTTCTCCACAGAAACAAAAGAATAGTGGTGGAAGAATATGATGTATACCACGAGAGTGCCATTGCAATGGCTGCACCTGAAGCATGACTTGTGATAAGGCATACCTTCCAAAGTCATCAGATCCATAACGTATACAGTCTTGTCACATGCCTTGCATTTGTCTAGTGTCCCTGTAAACGCCATTGTTCTCTCTCTTCTTCCTTTGCTTTCAGATCACAAAAGAAATTGCAATCTATGAGTTTTCTGCCTTTATTCAAAATCTAGAATTGTTTTTTTTTTCTAATGGTTGAGAATCGAATGAGGAGAACCCTTTAAATACTTAATCATCTATATTCTATAAGCTAATTATGGATAACTAGATATTTTCCTTCACCATGTACATGATAATATTTTTAATTTAAATTTGATTTATCATACATTTTGTTAATATTTTAGATTTTTATTTTATTTTATATCAGTATTTTAATGTAGATTTGGTCCAATTAAACATAAAATTAGGATAAAATAAAAAAAATTAATTTATTTGAAATTATATTTAAGAATAGAAATGTATATAATAATCTTAGATAGATATTCATCTATTTATGGGTATTTGGGTTAACATACATTAAATTAACTTGTAGAAAATTCTAAACTTATATAAAATTATATACTTATCAAAAAGAAAACAAACCAAACTTTTAAAATTTGTAGATATAAAAAAACAAATGGTATTGATTAAAAATTATAATTATTTAAAAAGACTGTATAAAATTTGATTTTTTTTTCAATAATAAATTGTATAATTATAAAATGTACTAAATAATATTTAAAATTTGTAAACAAAATTGTAATTTTCTTTTTATATTATTTAATATCATATTTAAATATATTTATTTTAATGATATATAAATTAGTATTATATTTTTAAAAGTTTACCAAAAATAGAAATCGCATTAAATGTAATTGTGCATATTACATTTTACCTTAATTCATGTCATCTTTTCTAGTATGTTATGTCATTTTTTACTGAAAGTGATTGTGGTGATAACACATGAAAAATCATTTCTCCAATATCCAAGGGATTCATTTTAAAGACTCAGAAAGAACTGATTATCATGTGACTACAAATAATTTGAAAGTTACGGGTTATATATGGAAATTACTGAGAAAAGAGGGACTGCCATGAAGTAATAACGAAAACTCAAGGTATTACTAGTATAAAGTAATAGAAAGAGTAAGGGTCATTCAATAAGGCAAGGGTCTTAAGAGCATGTTTATTGCAGATCCCTTAAACTGGATCTCTTAACGCACTGTCCCTTAGCTTTTAACTAAAAACGCTAAAGGACATCCTTTAAATAGAAATTACTGAGAAAAGAGGGACTGCCATGAAGTAATAACGAAAACTCAAGGTATTACTGGTATAAAGTAATAGAAAGAGTACGGGTCATTCAATAATGCAAGGGTCTTAAGAGCATGTTTATTGCAAGTCCCTTAAAGTGGATCTCTTAACGCACGGTCCCTTAACTTTTAACTAAAAATGCTAAAGGACATCCTTTAAATAGAAATTACTGAGAAAAGAGGGACTGCCATGAAGTAATAACGAAAACTCAAGGTATTACTAGTATAAAGTAATAGAAAGAGTACAGGTCATTCAATAATGTAAGGGTCTTAAGAGCATGTTTATTGCAAGTCCCTTAAACTGGAACTCTTAACGTACGGTCCTTTAGCTTTTAACTAAAAACGCTAAGAGACGTCCTTTAAATAGAAATTATTGAGAAAAGAGGGACTGCCATGAAGTAATAACGAAAACTCAAGGTATTACTAGTATAAAGTAATATAAAGAGTAAGGGTCATTCAATAATGCAAGAATCTTAAGAGCATGTTTATTGCAGGTCCCTTAAACTGGATCTCTTAACGTACGATCCCTTAGATTTTAATTAAAAACGCTAAGGGATGTCCCTTAAATAAGGGATTTAAGGGATGTCTCTTAGCGTTTTTAATTAAAAGTTAAGAGACTGCACGTTAAGAGACCCAGTTTAAGGAACCTGTAATAAACATGCTCTAAGAGCACTATTATTGTGGAACCTCACGAAAAGTGCTTACAAATTTATTATTCTTATTATTATTATTTTTTCCAGATTTAAAAAAAAAAACAAAAAATAACTAACTGTGGGCCGCCACGTATCGTAGGGCCCGCAAAACATGCCAAGTAATAACACAAAAATGCTTATTTTGCAACTCCAAGCACCAACTTCTCTCCTTTTTGTGGTCCTCCTCCCCTAAGCACTAGGGATAATAATGGTCTAAGAGCACCATTAACCCAACAATCCAAAATGGTTGCTTAAATTTTTTTTTTCTGATTACAAAATAAATTTTAAAAAAATTGACCAGTCGTGGGCCGCTACGTATCAGTAGGACCCACGATTTTCTAAGCAACACACCAAATCCGACGCTTATTCAAAAGCTATTGGCTGCGTTGTTTATTTTTCTGCTGAACCCCACTAATTATTATATTTTTTTTTCTTAAGCCACCCCCTCCCTTAAGCCGCAGAGTTAAAGGTGCTCTAAGTATAAAACCCAATGTATCTATTACTATAAAGTAAAGGTATTACTTTGAGCAATAGATCAGTCTTTTAATGCTAAAAAAAAAGTAAGAGTCTTACAATAATTGCATGTCAATGATAAGATTTTTGGGTCACTGAATAATCTATATTCTATGATCTAATTACGGCTAATTTTTTTTATTGCTCTTCTCTTTTTTTTCTTTTCATTCTGGAGTATAATCAAGGGACACACGAAAACATGCCATTATTGTAAGACATGATTTTTAACTTTTAACCATAGCTTAATTGACCTGTACCTATCAAACGTCAGCATGATTTATTATATGACTAGAAGATCAAACTAGGTTGAGAAATTGAAATGTGCAAAGAAACAGAGAAATTATAATATGGGTTCAATACTGTATATATTGTGAAGATGATCGTCATCTTGAGATTATCCAATTCTACAGGGTCCTTTTTCTAAATTATCAAGAAAAGATCCACGACTCAAAAATAACTTAAAATTCTTGGTATATATTACTACAAATAATACAAAATATAGGGCTCATATACGAAAATTACTAAGAAAGGGGGATTGCGTTGAAGTAATAACGGAAAAGCAAGATATTAATGTAAAGATAGAAAGCCCGAGGGTCATATGTATATATAACTTGGCTATAACTACAAATAATCTGAAAGTTAGGGATCATATATGCAAATCACTAAAAAAAAGAGGGATTGCATTGAAGTAATAACGGAAAAGCAAGATATTAATGTAAAGTAATAGAAAGATGAAGGGTCATATATATAAATAACATAAAAGAGTGAGAAAGTCTGAAAAGAAGAAGAAACTCCATTGACGAACAAGAACGAACAGAGAGCGTATTCTTTTCCCGAGAAAATTTTCTGTTACGTTTTCTCATCACAAATCGAAACCTCTCGATTCGTTTTTTTTTTCTCCCTTCTCCGTTCTTTAACTGACCGGTTTGTAGTTTACTTGAACACACTCCGATCTCGTCCCCAGCGTTCCACGGTTAGTTTACTTGAACGTACATTCTCTGATTACTCTTTAGGTTTTCTAGATTACGAACGGTTATCGTTTTCTTTTGTTTGAGTTTTGTGTAACGGTTATTGAGTAGATTCAGGATCGAGAGAGAGAGAGAGAGATAGAGATTGTGATGAATAACAACAGAGGACGTGGAACGGGACGTGGTGCGCCGCCGAATCAGTCGTACCAGCAGCAACAACAGTGGACGAAACGCGCTGGAAACGCTAATGAGGTTCAGAAGACGACGTCGTCTCAGCCGACTGTAGCTAGCAGTGATCCTAAGTAAGATCTTGTTTCCTTATATCTGCGCTGTGTGTGTATTACGTTCTTGGAAACAACTGTTCAAATACGCTTTGCTGTGAATGATTCTTGGAGATTAGATAAGGTTGTTATGGATGATTTTGGTTTACAGTAAGTGATGATTTGTGCTGTTTATAGAATGTGATTTGATTTTGAGATGAAACTTATATCTCTTTTATGATAATGGATTCGTTGCCATGAATGATTATTGGAGATAAGATAAGGTTGTTATGAATGATTTTGGTTTGCAGTAAGTAATCATTTGTGCTTTTTGTAGAATGTGATTTGATTTGAGTTGAAACTTTTATCTCTTTTGTGTTAATGGATTCGTTGCTATGAAGGATTATTGGAGATAAGATAAGGTTGTTATGAATGATTTTGGTTTACAGCAAGTAATCCTTTGTGCTTTTTGTAGAATGTGATTTGATTTTGAGTTGAAACTTATATCTCTTTTGTGTTAAATTGTTAATGGATTCTTTGCCATGAATGATTATTGGAGATAAGATAAGGTTGTTATGAGTGATTTTGGTTTACAGTAAGTGAGCTTTTTGTAGAATGTGATTTGATTTTGAGTTGAAACTTATATCTCTTTTGTGATAATGGATTCGTTGCTATGAATGATTATTGGAGATAAGATAAGGTTGTTATGAATGATTTTGGTTTGAAGTAAGTGATGATTTGCGCTGTTTGTAGAAAGATATCTGTGTGCTATGATTTGATTTGAGGTGTGAAACTTATATATATTTTGTGTTAATGGACTCTGTTCTATGTTACTACTCTCAGTGGCCAAGATTGGAGACAACTATTGAATACGTTTTGCTACAAATGATTCTTGGAGATAGATAAGGCTGTTATGAATGATATGTGATGCTTGTAGAAAGATATCTGTGTGCTATGATTTGTTTTGAGGTGTGAAACTTATATATATTTTGTGTTAATGGACTCTGTGTTCTATGTTACTACTCTCAGTGGCCAAGATTGGAAGGCAACGTTAAGGCTCCCACCTCCTGATACTCGTTATCAAACCGCGGTATGAGATTTTTTTTCTTTAGAATGGCTTATAGTGTAAGTGGAAGGTCTCCTTATGTGTTATAACATTGTATACAGGATGTGACAGCTACAAAGGGAAATGAATTCGAAGATTACTTTCTGAAAAGAGATTTGCTTAAGGGAATATATGAGAAAGGTTTCGAGAAGCCATCACCTATTCAAGAAGAGAGCATTCCCATTGCTTTAACCGGTAGTGATATTCTTGCTCGAGCTAAGAACGGTACAGGGAAGACTGGTGCCTTCTGTATTCCAGTCTTAGAGAGGATTGATCCTAATACCAATGTTATTCAAGGTACGCTAGTTTTAAAACTTCTTTTTTTATTTGTGAAAAATGTAGTTACTCTCTGACTGTGTTTGTTGTTCTATTTTTTTGTTATACAGCTATGATTCTAGTTCCTACGCGAGAGCTGGCTCTTCAGACATCACAGGTTTGCAAGGAGCTTTCCAAGTACTTGAACATCCAGGTTATGGTCACCACTGGTGGTACCAGTCTGAGAGATGATATCATGCGGTTACATCAACCTGTGCATCTGCTCGTTGGAACTCCTGGAAGAATATTGGATCTTACGAAAAAGGGAGTTTGTGTTTTGAAAGACTGTACGATGCTTGTAATGGATGAGGTGAGCTCCTCATAGCTCTTGCTAATATCTTGATCTGAACTTTGTTGTTCTTCATGTTGGCTTGTTGATTAAAAGTTACTGACTTCTTGCATACTATTTTACCAGGCCGACAAGCTTTTGTCTGCAGAGTTCCAACCTTCTCTAGAGGAGTTGATACAGTTTCTGCCACAAAATCGTCAGTTTTTGATGTATTCCGCTACGTTTCCTGTCACTGTGAAAGCCTTTAAGGATCGTCATCTCCGGAAGCCATATGTTATCAATCTCATGGATCAACTCACGCTCATGGGTGTCACGCAGTATTATGCTTTTGTTGAAGAGAGACAGAAGGTTCACTGCCTCAACACACTTTTCTCTAAGGTCAGATGTTCTAGAACAAACCCTGTAACCACATAATTAACAGCTACTCGGTTTGGATGTTCTAAACTAGTTATTGTTTTTAATTGCAGCTGCAAATAAACCAATCGATAATCTTTTGCAACTCTGTCAATCGCGTGGAACTGTTGGCTAAGAAAATTACAGAGCTCGGGTACTCGTGCTTCTACATTCATGCGAAGATGGTTCAGGATCATAGGAACAGAGTGTTCCATGAGTTCCGCAATGGTGCTTGCAGAAATCTCGTTTGCACTGGTATGCTTTCGAACATGTACTTTGAACGATGATCAATGTGTAGATGATGTTTATGACTTGCTTAAAAAATGTTGGCTGGTGCAGATCTGTTTACTCGTGGAATTGACATCCAAGCTGTGAATGTAGTGATTAACTTTGATTTTCCTAGGACTTCTGAGTCGTATCTACACAGGGTAAGTCGAAACAAAACCTCTTTTTTACTCTAAGCTTCCAGGACAACCTCGTTTTTCTTGATGCATACTGTGAAATGATCAGGTGGGCCGATCAGGACGGTTTGGACACCTTGGATTAGCTGTGAATTTGGTAACATATGAGGACCGTTTCAAAATGTAAGTCGCTTCTTCTTTCCACAGTTCTTACTTTGTTTAATTATGTCTTTGTTTTAGTTTTCTCATGTATCATATGTTTTTGAGAACAGGTATCAGACTGAGCAAGAACTTGGCACTGAAATCAAATCAATTCCTTCAAATATCGATCAAGCAATCTACTGCCAGTAAACTTGTAACTGCACGAGAAAATGTTTCCACCCGAAGAGACACAGTGTTGATGAAAAATGGTGAGAGGCAAAATCTTTCATCTTATCTTTTGTCAAAATCAACATTGATTGCATGTTTGAACTAATGTGCCGCAATGTTCAGGTGTTTCTCAAGCTAGGAGGAGATGAGTTGACAGATACTTGGTGGGGTTCATGTCAAGACGACTCGTTACATAGATGAACAAAGAGTTGTTTGGTTCGGTTTGGTTTCAAATCTCTCTCTAGACTTTGTTTTGTGGTTCGAATGAAACCTTTTTGGAAGTACTAATGAAGATAGAAACATAAGGCTCTCTATTTGAATGACTATGGGTTTTCTAGCCCATTTAAGATCTAAATTGCATTTACATTTTTCCAGTCTAGACCTAAATAAATTTGGCTTGTCTGGTAATCACGTGGAATTACCAAAAAAGTCTTTTAATTTCAAAGTTAAATTTATCATACAATGATTTGTTATGGTATTCCTTAGTCTTTTTAACCTTGTTTTCTTTAGTGTTATCCGTTGCTTTAGTTTTGAAGAATTTTTTAATATAACACATTTGATTCAGATTTTTTGGGAGATATCTCGTAATTTGATGAAATAGATATGTCGCATTTAATTCTTTCATGAAAATAAACATATATGAAACATATGTAGCAGAGAAAGAAGCATATATATGAAATACTGAAACAATAATTATTAAAAATATTTGATAGTGAAACTACTACTACTTTGACTTGTAGCTGACCACATTTATGGAGATATTAAAAGGCCCCCACCTATTGTCTGGAAGGTCATGACACAACAGTATCTTCTCTTTCTTTGACTCTTTGTGATCCCTAAGCCTAGACGCATGACATGTCGAGTTTCTATTGGCTTATTCTTTGACTTTGTAATTTTTTTTATAAAGAGAACTAGCAAATAAGTAAAATTCGAGTGAAAAGGTCACCACAGAATTTTGACAAAAATAACTCTCAGGATATAAAAGAAAACATATGTATAAATGGCCACTGTTCTCGTTTTTTACTCACTAATTTTAATTAGAAACGTGTTTGTCGCATCAAACTGATTCTCCCTTCGGCTCTACTAGTCTACAAAGTCATTGTCGTATCCATTACTTCAACTTCTGCTCCTTTCTTTAATAACTTGTTTCAATAATTTTTCAAAGATAAAAAACAATAATAAATGTATGATTTTATCACTCTGATTTTTGTTTCCCGGCTAAAGAAGAAGGGATGTCACGTAAGATCCGCCATAAATGCTCTTTCTTTCTTTCTTTATTTCCTCTTTCTTGCAATTTGAAAACCTGAAAACCCTAGCCCACTTCTTTACTTTGTCTTAGCTGTTTTCGACAAACCCTAATGAGGATAATATCAATCACACTCACACACCTTCAAAAATCGAATTTTTGTTCACTGAAATTATATTATTAAATCAAACGAAAATTACTTAAAGATATACTCACCTCATTTTGCAACACACAATGTGTTTTTCTGTAATTTATATAAATCAAACTCAACGCTCTAGGATCTGCAAGTTACCATAGGTCCATAGGAAACCCTTTTTTAATTTTACATTTCTCAACAACAAAACAAAAAATCCGAATATTTGCAATCATGATTATTTGTTTTTGGACGACCTGTTGTTACTGTCATGAACATTAAATACAATATATAATAAATGTTGTACGAGTTTTGCGTGAAATAAATGCTCAGGGCCAGCTCGAAGCTCTCGCTGATCGTCCTTTCTCAGTTCTCTATTCCACACACAATCGTATTATTTCATCTTTTTCCCCCTATTTTATTTACTTTTTATTATCTATATATAACTCCATAAAGCATCATCGATCTTTAACTCACTGGTTCCTTCCTTCCCTTTGGCTTTTTATTTCATCTTTACGACATTAAAACCAGACCAAACCAAAAAACATTTAATAGTTTTTACCACCTTTTTAGAAAAAAAATCATCTCTTTTGATCCTATCTTCTCCTTTTTTAACTTTGAAGGTTTGTCTGTCTCTTCTATGATGAGACTCTAACACTCTTCCTCTGTGTTTCTTCTTCTTCTTTAACCTTAAGACCTTAAAAAGTTCGTTTTTTTTTCAGCAAAATGGGAAGAACGCCTTGCTGTGACAAAAAGGGTTTGAAGAAAGGTCCATGGACTCCTGAAGAAGATGAGCTTCTCGTTGAGTATATCAAGAAAAACAACCATGGTAGCTGGAGAACTCTTCCAAAGAACGCTGGTAACAACAACAAACTCACATTCTTTCCTCTTTAGGACTTTTGTTTACAAAGTTTCCATCTTTATTAGGGTTACTTCGCTGTGGAAAGAGTTGTAGACTGAGATGGACTAACTATCTAAGACCAGACATAAAGAGAGGTCCTTTCACTCCTGAAGAAGAGAAACTCGTTGTCCAACTACACGCCATTCTCGGCAACAGGTCTTTAACTTTCTTCTAAATCCTCTGTTTTGAATCCTCTGTTTTTTTTTTTGTTTAAATGCTCTGTTTTTGTTTTTGGGTTCAGGTGGGCTGCTATAGCAGCACAGCTTCCAGGGAGAACAGACAATGAGATCAAGAACCTATGGAACACTCACTTGAAGAAACGTCTGTTAAGTATGGGTCTTGACCCCAAAACCCATGAGCCATTACCTTCATATGGGTTAGCCATACAAGCTCCAGCTTCACCAACAACACGCCACATGGCTCAATGGGAAAGTGCTAGGCTTGAAGCTGAGGCAAGGCTCTCTAGAGAGTCAATGCTTTTTAATCCTTCTTCTTCTGGAGGTGGAGTGAAAGCTGACTGTGATCACTTCTTACGCATTTGGAACTCAGAGATTGGTCAGTCTTTCAGAAACCTTGCACCATTTGATGAATCAACTGCTACTAGTCAAAGCCCTTGCTCTAGGACAACAACATCTTCCTCCTCTGCTGCACTTCCAAAGAGCTCAACAAACTCTTGTGTTGGGAAAGAGATTGTTGTGAAGACTCATCATGGCTCTGATTCTTATTCTCCATGTTCTAACAATCTTGAAGATGTTTCATCAGACTCTGCTCTTCAGCTTCTGCTTGATTTCCCTATAAGTGATGATGATATGAGTTTCTTGGAAGAGAACATTGGTAGCTACTCAGAGTCTTCTCATGTTGGTGGTGTCTCTATGGGTTCTAAATTCTAATCTTATGGGTGAAAAAAGTTATCCCAAGTAGTGATATGGTATCTATGTAAATCAGCATTAGTTAGCTATTAATATTATCAATCCTTTTTATGATTTGAATATGCTTCAAAAAAACTTCATGAGAATGAACAATGAACACATTTTAACACTGAATTTTATACAAACAAAATTACAAACCATTGAATAGAGAACAAAGTGAAATTTTTACACTTTACACTTGAAAATAACTAATCTTTGTTTAAAAACTTATCCTAACTATGCAAATCAGCATTGGTTAGTTATTATCAAACCTCTTTGCGATGCTTCAAAAATTTGCAAGACAATGAACAATTAACACATTTTTTTTTCACACTGATGTTCACACAAAAAAAGTCAATATACAAACAAGATTACAAGCCATTGAATAGGAGAAAAAGTGAAATGTATACACTTTACAGTTTGAAAAACTCATTGATATAAAGATCAGAAACAACCACAGGTTGCCTTTGGGACAAGACCAGTGGCTCTGTATTTAGCAGCCATCTCTTCAGCTTTGAGAACATCTTCTCCACGCTTGGCTTCAATCATTGCTCTTCTCTCTTCTGCTTCTTTGTGAATAGCTGCAACTTTGTTCTTCATCTTCTCTGCATACTCTGCTTTCTTATTCTCAAGTTGCTCCTATACATTTTATTTTTCAATCACATGTTAAACAGTCTCTCCTTTGATTAAGTTTTTGTTATTATTATTATTATTATTAGTTATACCTCGATTTTCTTGAGCTGGGCTTCAATAGCTGCTTTCTTGCTGTTTTCCCAAGCAAGAATATCAGAGATCTTCTTCTCAGCTCTGTACCAATGTCTCAATTGTTTTAGCAAATCAGACCAAAGAAAACTTTATAAAACCATTTATAAAAAAAAAAAAAACATGTATTACTTGTTCTCTGCTTTGCTCTTTTCGCTATCTTCCCATGCTTTGACATAAGCCAATGTCTTCTCCTTTGACAAATCAGCTAGCTTAACATCTAACACCAACCAATTATATATATAGCTCAGTAACTTCCATAAACATTACTATAAATAGAAAGTACTAGACATAGTTTATGTTTCAAACTCACCTCTATCAAGCGAACCACCAGACGTAGCTTTCTCTGGTGCAGGCTCTACAGGTTCTGTTAAAAGAAACTCACTCTATTACAGCCAAAGCCCAAGTCTTGAAACACAGAGAGAAATTAAACAAGCAAGAAACATACTAATTATATATATTAGGATCTCTTGATTATGTAATAAAGTTACTATTTATAGGTCCAGGGTCTCTTGATTGTGTAATAAAGTTACTATTTTGGGTTGTTGTTCATTTCATATACGTAGAATTAAATAATTTTATGAAAACATATATCAAATTTAAACAATCAAAGATTAATTTCCTCCTAGTTCATCATCAAAGCAGAAGATTATCAGAGAACACAAACTATAAGTATGCATAGAGAGAGAGAAGACTTACTCTCAACAATGACAAGGGCTTTTGAGTCATCAGAAGTTTTCTCCGGAGCCGGAGCCGGAGCTGGTGCTGGTGCTGGAACCGTAGCAGGAGTCTCAGCCGGAGCTGGAGGAAGAGTCTCAGCCGGAGGCGGAGGCGGAGGCGGAGGTGCTGTGTCTAATGTTATCTTCTGTTCTTCCGCCATAGTCTTTCTCTCTCAGCCGAATATGAAAACAGCGAATTAAACGATAATGAAAAAATTGATTAAAGGTTTATACTTTGGTGTTATACTGTAAAGCTAATTAACCGCGTTTTTCTGTTTAAAAAATTCTGTTACTTTTTTGTCCGTTGATCTTAAGAAGTCATCAGATCGTACGGCTGTAAAGAGAGTAGTCCGTTGTTGATCACGTAAGCCGCGGTACAGAGGAATATAAAACTCATCTTGCCGACAGACAGGTAATACTGTTAACAAGTGCCACGTAATAATGTTTCTTTTTTTAAAGCACTACAGACTGGTTTCGGAATAATTAAAGTTTTTTTGTTTAAAATAATGATATTTCGGACAAAAGCGTGACGTGGAAGGAGGACACGCTGGAGACAGAGATACAAAGAGGATGTCTTTCTGAGTTGTCTTGACCCCACGCACGTTAGTGACGCGTGGTGGTTATCTTTTTAGCTCGATTGATGATGAGACGAGCCAATTATAATGGGCTTTCTATCTATTGGGCTGATTCCTATTTTATAAGTTCATATTCTAAAAGTTCCAAAGAGCTATTTGACAAGGTTTGTTGACCAAAGATTTAACTACCCAAGCAGATTTTTGTTTACCAAACAACAGCGACATCGTTTGTATAACATTTGTCTCTGTTACATCATATATTCATATGAGAATCGATAAACCTTCTTGTAGATTACAGAGGCTTTTTTTCTATATTTATATTCCTTTCCATCTCTTTTCTAATTTAAGTGTTATAGTAAGTTTGAGTTTGACCATCTGTCTGGTAACCATATTTTATTAGATACTTTTATATGGAGAAAGAATTAAGCTCTAGAAAAGGCCTAAGCATAAGTTTTTTTTTTTTTTTTTTTTTTAA